CACCCTAAAATATAATATAAGACATCCATGGATATTAAGTTATTCACAATAATGCAGTATTTTTCAAGGACAGATATACTAATATACTGGTATATTATAATTATTTACTGTTTATGCAACAAATATAAGAGTTTAAAACAATTAGTCCCTTTTAATAATTTAAACAATACAGCCAAAAGACGAACAGAGGTAGATGCAATCATTTTGTATTGGGCTGTATTGTTTAAAAAGGGACTAATTGTTTTAAACTCTTATATTTGTTGCATAAACAGTAAATAATTATAATATACCAGTATATTAGTATATCTGTCCTTGAAAAATACTGCATTATTGTGAATAACTTAATATCCATGGATGTCTTATATTATATTTTAGGGTGAAATTCAGACCCAGCGAAAGTATACTGAATCGTAGCCTGATCACTTTTTCTTTACTGGAAAAGATATTCAAGGAGAATGGGGAAGTGTCAGTGACAGGAAAACAACTGGAATTTTAGAGTAGAGCCCTGACTTCTACATATGTATTAAGCATAATTTTATCAGGGTGTTTCTATAAAATTATTGGGGAAGCTGCACTTTTTAAATGTTCCTAAATATATCCCTCTCCAATCAAAGATTGATCTGAAAGACCAATCAAAATTGTGGACCCTAACTCATAAATCCATCAAGGCATATAAGCCTAAACAAGGACTTACTGGTTTATTCAGACAAAAGATCCTGATTTTATATTACAGTTTCATGTGGCTTTGAAGCAAAGTTGAAATGTTCTTGGGCAATTTAACAAATGCAAGGTGTGGGAAAATCAAAATGTATTTTGTACAGAGAAGGGAAATACACCGTGCTTCTCTGTCTAAATCATGCCTGGCAACTATTCCGAATAAATTTGTTCTTTTAGGTAATACGTTATGACTTATGATTAGAGAACTCCAAGAGGAGAACAACATAATCCAACCACCTTAGAGTTTGCATGTTAATAGTATAAAATGACAGCCTGCTTATATCCATGATATCATAAATGCTGTATTTGATCAAACTTGTGTAAACCAAATGAATATTTTATGCATTATTTTTTTTATCATTTCTGTGGACTGTCAAATATGGTTCAGTTTCCTTTTTCTTTTCTTTTTTTTACAGTGACACTCCCTGAATTAAATTTCAATTTATGTATAAGACTCTGCAACAATTTTTTCATAACCTTGTCACTCACACGGACTTAGGTGCCAGCTTCAGTTACTAGAGGCAATTCTTCTCATCTATAATCTATGCAAATCTTCTAACATGAAGGATCAGTAAACAACATGCTTAGTTTATACAGTGAGAATAACTGAACATCTGGTCTGAGGGACAGAAGAGTAAGATAAAAAATTCAGATATATTGTCCCTGACTGTTTAGAAATGTATCAAAGCGCAAATGTCAAATTGAGCACTTCTGGCAAACACTATGTGGTGATTCCCTGATATAAACAAATAACTCAGTAGGTTTTTGGCAGTAGACAATAGTACAGAACTACGGTGTTCAGGGTATCACAAAAAGTTGCATTTTCCATTTTTCAAAATTCTGGCCCTGGTGAAGTTCAAAATGGCAGGTGGCTCACAAACTGCCCGCTAGAAGATTCGTCTCTGTTACAGCTAATTCCGTGTAGATTTGTCAGTAGGTTCAGATGAATCCTGTGAAAAATGATGTGCACCTTAGATCCAGATTTTTGTGTCATAGTGGAGGCAGAAATGATTAGATCAGTAGTGGGATTCCAAAAATTTTACTACTGGTTCTATGGGCATGGCTTCGTGGGCATGGCTTGGTGGGCAGTTTGACAGGGGAAGGATACTGTAAAATCTCCATTCTCTCGCCACTCCAGGGGAAGGATACTGCAAAATCTCCATTTCCTCCCCACTCCAGGGGAAGGATACTGCAAAATCTCCATTCCCACCCCACTCCA